TTAAGAGATGTTTAACGAATTTCGACTGAAGCCGAGATTTTAAGGTGTTACTTAGAAAATAAGCCAACATTATTTTACGATGAAAGACAATATTCGGTTAGAATTCGTTTTCAATCCACTTACTGATTGAGTGCAGAAGAGCTTACTTCAAAGGGATCTCGAAATGCCAGACAAGCAGCAACAATAACAGCAGGTTGAAGACAACGAAACATGGCACCTAGAAGAAGCAGTTTGGCACATTGAGGATCAAGTGGTAAGTTAGCCAAATGCAATCCCAAAGGAGTCAGCTCGTCACAATCGTCCGCAGTAACAATCTCCGCCGAATCTTTAACGACAGTAGTATGTTTGACAATCGGCTTCCCACCTGGTTTTAATATAGGGCACCCAACTGCTTTTCTAACCATATTGCTGTCTGTGCAGATGTCTTGGCTCGAGCTGGCTGATTGACTTGATTGTTCGGATTGAACCTCAAAATAATCAGCTAGCTGGCTTGCAGAAAGCCCAGATTTGACGTTAGTTTGAAGTTCAGGATATTTCTTTGTCCGATTCAAGTTCAAGCGACAGTTTCTCTCGATAGCGCCTGACTGCTTAGGGTGTCGAAGTGCAGAGATATCACGAAGGAATCGCAACGTGGAAGTAATTGAAGCAGATGAAGGTGAATCCATGCAGCTGGAAAGAAACTTGTTGACTGAGCCCAACTTGAGCGACTGATTAATAAAAAAACAATGAATTTATAATAAACTCAAATAATGCAAACTATTGAGTAATTGGGCTTGTACAGCAATGAATTTAAACGAAGTACCTAAGAGATAGTCAGGATGATTATCCAAAAAGAAGCAAAGGCATTAATAATTGTCCGAGAGAGGCAGGGCTAACCTTTTCGCTCAAGATACCCCTCACACATAAAGCCCGTCATTAAAGGCAAGGTGGAATTCGTGTTGCGTAAAAGCGATTTTCTTCTATATAAAAGTTGTTCATATATAGTATAGGAAGGATAAAAAGTATATTCTGAAAATAGATTTGCAAATTTAAGAATGACAGAGAAAACCATTTAAATTGGTACATGCAAACACGTGAGATGCCCGAATTCAACTTATTTGAAAGTTATGGAGATAAGCATCCTTGACTGATTCATGGGCGGCAGTTGTTAGATAACAAGAACTCAATCCTGATGATACCCTAAGGAGAAACAAGTCTCCACATGACTTAAAAAAGAGAGAACGAAAATGACCTGAAAGCTGAGCTAGTAGGAAAGTTATGAAAAAGTAATGCTTTAATAACAAATTAGATATCATAGTTTAATCAAAGATATGAAGACAAAGATGGTGTAGCTGTTGGTATTGTCACACTCTCCCTTCTATGTACTTCCAGTGTATGCTTTACTCTAGATACTATTTCTCAGCCCTTTGGAATCCCGTACACTATTGCTCCACCTTACATAGCGCATGGGCTCTGATTCCCATACTTGCTGTTATTAGGCTTTGCCTTCACAAGTCATCTCCTTAAATTCGTTAACCCTGATTAAACTGTGGTCGCCTATCCCTGATCGCCTGTTGCATTTCGAGTGGATTCCTAGTCGATGTGGCTATAATGCCGAATTTCAATGACAGTTGTGATTATCAATCTCCCTAGTCCCGTAAACGCCAGGCCCCCAAAATTGTGGTTATTTTTCGAGGAGACTACGCTCTCTGAGAACGTCTTAACTTGATTGCTGAAACTTCCTCGCCCGCTACCACTGCTCTACAATAGGTTCTTGATTCAGGCGTCTCATTTTTGCTGATCTTGCCACATCCCTGATTTTTCCGAGTTTTCCTGAACAATAAGAAAATTTAGCGCTTACTTAGCCTCCTTCCAATCTTCTGTTTATCTAATTTTCTCCCTATGGATGTCAATAACCTACCTAATCATCAGTTTACTTGAATTTTTGCTGTATGAGGCCCTTCTTTCAGTTGCTTTACAATTGATCTCGTTTTCATTCCGTGCGATTTGTTCCGGTTTTCATTGTCCTGCATCACCTTGATTCGTATGGTGATCTTTCTTTCTGATTCGCCAATATAATTATTTTCACAGGTGACGTATGCTATGCAGTAAAGTCCTGAGCAGTCCAATTTGTCCACCCCGTCATGTTTCGTGGGTATTCTTGTGAAGAGGCTTATTTTTTCTTTCGTGGTCATCTTAATATTCCATTTCTTTAGTATTGGCCTTAGTGTGGGTTAGTCCACAGAAGAGTAGGCATATCCACTTTTGTGAGTTAATCAAAATCCATACTTTAAAATATGAAGACCAAGATGTTGTGGCCTCTGGTATGGTCTCAGTCTCCTTTCAATTTATAGAAGTTAGTTGACCTCATTGACGCAACTTGGTCTTGTTGTCAGGACGACTTAATAATCCGAAGTGATCTGCCATAGAAGTTGTCATGAATTCCAGATCATCTTGGTATATTCGCATGATTATAAATTGCGTAAGTTTGGGATTAAAAGGCAGCCTAAGTTAAATTATATGTATTCATCCTATGTCGTCTAAGGTGATGAAGGTGATGAAGTACCCTTGAGTCACAGGGCATAAGTGAATTTCAAGGAAGGTCAGGCTTCTGCTATATCATATTCTTTGGTGGGAGTGCCGATGAAGCAAACGTATATTTGTATGAGAGTAGGGTACTCGTGGCAGTGTAGCCGAGTGGTTAGCGTGTCAAGCTTCCATCCTGTGCTGACGCAGTTCGACTCGCGCTGAGGGTGTTGATAAGACCGATGCGAGGTCGAAACTGCAGTCCACCCTGGATGAGAACAACTTTTGG